TGTCTTTATTTCAAGTGTAAATTCAAAACAAATTAAATGGTTGTTTTGATCTAATAAAGTTTAGTTAAGTCCTAACTTACTAGTTCTCCCAACTTATGTCCATGTTATATAAAGGTCTCTTTGACGAGTCAAAATTACGACACAAATCATCTCTTGAACTAGTAACTTCAGGACTCATGGGGGGGACGGGGGTAAGTATATGATTTCTGACTGTGACATGGTCTTCTTTCAGGCCACAGTGACATTCTTCATTATACAGGGTATAAGAGATGATAACCCATCTGAAGTTAAGAGCAAAAGAGAATGCTTTCCAGTATGTGGTTTTCTTCTGAAACAAATATTGAGTAGTGAAAAACTGAAAAGAGTGGTAACAAATGTCTTGGAAATTCTCCAATTTATACAAGGCAGGAAACTGTAAGACTATTTTTACTGGGTTCAAAAAACTGAAGTCTTTAAAAAAATCATAGTTGGTTGGAAATGTTCTCCTTTACCTGGATAATATAGTCCATCCCAATTATAACAAACTGCAACAGATTGTCTGAATTGTTTTTGATGTACTGGCTTTTTGTTCACACAGAACACTATAGTATTAGTAGTTTTTATCTTTACAGATTGCTACCCTATCAACTTTTAATTTAGAGTCTTCAAAAGTCTCTGAGGGTAGAAAACACAGTATGGCAGAGTGGAAAGAACAGGGCACGAGATTGGAGGAGATGAGATTCTACTCCTGCCTTCACTGCACTATTAACCAACTGTGAGACACAGGCAAACTCTCAACAGTTGTGAACTTTAGTTTCCCTATCTGTATTCAGGATGGGTGACCTACCCCTTTTAACCTCTTCATACAGTCTTCACAACTTTGGGAAGGCGTTGAGCTTCCACCACACACTACTGACTTATTGGTGGGTCTACAGGTAACTTTTAATTTAAAAAAATATCATTTTCTACTTCTCTAATTCCATTCTGCCAGTAACAATTCAACCAAATAGTTAAGCATGATGCCAAATGACCCACTCCTGTTCTTACATCACTTCCTCTTACTCACTTCCCAAGATGGCTCTCCTCCCTTCCAGCTTCATAACTCATCCTTCCTTCTCTAGAAACTTCATTTATTAACTATTCCTCACAGGTCACCTGACACAGCCTCGCTCAGTCTTATGAGCTGCCAGCCAAGAGAGGTTTGGACGAAGAGCGTTCAGAATCCCTGGCTTGCCATTCATTAAGATCTTCTTGCCCTAAAAATGACCCACTCCCTGAAGCACCAAGAAATCTGCAGACACTTCTCCGTACAGTTCTGTTGGGGTCAGTTTCTCTCTAGGATAGGGGCCAGGATAATTGCGATCAGTAAGTTTCATTTCTTCCCTGAAGACATCAAAGTCACCTGCCAAAAAGAACAGTGAGAAAGGGAGAAAAGGAAATAAAAGTGGGAAAAGAGGCCCTAAATGACGAGACAAGGAGAAAGCCCTATAGAGGAGGAAGAGTTGGGGAAGACGGGTGCGCAAGAGGGCGTGAGAAGCCTCTCACTCCCACCGCTGCACGGGCGGCCGGGACGTGCCACGCCACAAAGTTCGGTCTCTAACTTCGTGGGAAGTGAGGTTTGAAGAAACGGAGCCGTCTGTCAGCAGGTGGAAACACCCCTTCCTCCATCACAACCTGCTTCGGGAGGTCGCAACTCCAGGGCAGCGCCCGAGTCCCCGGGGAGCCGCTCCTCCCTCCACACCCCAGGTCGTCCGCCCCAAGCCCGCTCCGCCCCCGGGGACGCCCCTGCCCGCCTGGGCCCGCGGGGAGGCCGGGCCTGAGACCTCCCAGGGCGCGGGGCCAGCAGGGGGCGACGCCAGCAACTGGGTCTCCCCCGACACGCGAACTTGGTCCCCGACCCCTGACCCCGCGACCCCGGCCCAGCCTTACGTGTTATCCTGGTTGAAGTTGGCGAAGAGCAGCTGGCCGGCACCGGCCTCGCCGCTCTGGCTTGCCAGGTTCATGGCTGGGCACGCGGGTCAGCCCACCCCGGGGAGCACGCACGGGGGCGGCTCGGGCTTCTCAGGGTCGGCGCCGGGACCCG